CGGCCGTTCAGTGTGTGATCAGACTTACCTGCCTTCAAGTGCTGTAATCGATGACCTTACCTGCTTCAGTGTGTGATCGATGGCACTTGGCCTGCCTTCAGTGTGTGATCATGACTTACTGCCTTCAGTGTGTGTTCATGATTACCTGCCTTCAGTGTGTGAATCGTGACTTCCTGCTTCAGTGTGCTGATCATGACTTACCTGCCTTCAGCGATGTGATAGATGACATTACCTGCCTTCAGTATGTATCAATGACTTGACCTTGCCGTTCAGATGTGATGATCATGACTTACCGCACTTCGTGTGTGATTCCATGACTTACCTGCCTTCAGTTGTGTTCATTGACTTACCTGCCTTCAGTTGTGCATCAAGACTTCTAGCCTTTCAGCAGGTAAGTCATGAACACACACTGAAGGCAGGTAAGTCATGATCACACACTGAAGACAGGCTAGCTGGGATTCTAGGATTCACAGCCAATGCATAGATTCCAGAATACATGACGATGGATTTTTGAATCCATATCGAACACAGATTTCAAACCTCACGACAGATGAAGAATACATAATTCAAGAAGAATGCATAGATTTCCAAACTCAACGACGACTACGATTGTGGAATCAACGACAGATGTAGATTCAAGAATCCACAAGGAATGTATAGTATCCAGAATCCAAACGGAATGCATAAATGTTAGAATCTACGACAAATGCACAAATGGCTAAATACATGAGGAATCTGGAATCCACAAGGAATTCGTAGAAGCTAAGATCCATGAGGAATCTGGAATCCACAAGGAATTTGTAGAAGCTGAAATCCATGACAAATGCACGGATTCCCGAATAAACGACAAATCCAGTTTCGAGAATCCATGAAGTACACCGAGATGGCGCTGGAAATGCTCTTACCTGATTGGCTGGCGGAATCCGCCATCGTCATCGTCGTCGTCGTCCAGTAGCGCCGGCGTCGACTTTGCCTTCGACGGCGGCTCGCTCTTCTGCGACGTCGGCGTGCCCGGTGGCGCCTCCTGGTTGACGTTTCCGGTACTCGACGTGCGCAGCCGCTCCTGGGCCGACCTCGGGTCGCGGGCTGCGAGAGGTCAGCGAGAGGTCAGCGAAAGGTCAGCAGCGTGCAACAGGTGGCGCCTGTGGTCGCGCGCGATCTGGGCATGCCGAGATATGACCAGTGCACGCGTGGCACAGAGAGATAATGCTGATAGATTAGGATTAGCACTGAATTAGGGATAGTAGAGCGCCATAGGCTGAGCAAATTCCTAGGGGGGGGGGCAAAATTTAATGATTCAACTGTGTAATGATGAGCGACGGGCGCAGCTCTTGATCGACGTCCATAGTGTGGTAGGGGTGGGTCTGAGACGAGGCTTTCACGGATAAGTGACCACAAAAATCACGTTATGGTTATTTACGATTATTAGCTAAGCTTGTTTTTTTCCTTTCGCTCCAAAATCTAGGGGGGCAGCTACCAAAAAGTCTAAAGTGACCAAAAAAATCTTTACAAAATAAAGCGTTTTTAGGTGTACCCCTTGCCCCCCCCACCCCCACAGGCTACGGCACTGTAGTATTGTAACAAAATCAACATGGAATTATGGTTATCACTGGATTAAACTTACACGAGATTCACATTACCACTGCATTAGGATTAGTACTGTAGTAAAATTAACACGAGGAATAGAATTAGAAGCGGGGTAACGACGATACACGGTACGCTGTACATGCGCCCCCGACTGGAGCGCCATCTAGCACACGAGAATGCGATCGTGCGACAAGTGAACAGAGGGGTTAGTTACCTCGGAATATGCGTCCGAACACTCCGCCCTCGTAAGCTTGCGAGGAGAAGAGAATGTCACTCAGTACCAGCACAGAGCATATAGACTACTCGTTTATTATTTAATCAAACTAATTATGATAATAATAATAATAATGGTAATATAATTACAGAAGATTTGGTGTTAAAAATTATGATGGTGATGATGATGATGATGATGATGATGATGATGAAGATGATTTAGGGTTAGAGTTAGGGTTAGGGTTAGGGTTCACATGTATACAATAGGCTACATGTGTACACAAATTCAGAGATGCCAACACATATTTGAAGCAATCTGTAGTTTCTGGCCATCAAATTAGTAGTTCGAGGGTCACGTAGTGACCCGAGTTGGCTAGGGGGGTCCGGCATGCCCCCCGAAAAAAATTTTGATTCTGAGATGCAATTTCCGGGGTTAAAAAATGACAATAAATAGACAAAAAATGGGAATAATTGACAAAAAAATATTTTTTCCTATGACAGTGAAATTCGTAGTTTGATACAAACTGGTCGTAGTGGTGCAAAAGGAATAGAAATTCGTATATAATACGGATAAATCGTAGTAGTTGGCATCTCTGACACATGTGTGAAAATGAGCATTTCTCCCCGGTGCACGATTCATCAAAGCTCACCTTCGCCGCGACTATGCTCAACCCGATGCCGCCATTTTTCTTCGGAAAGGTGATCACTTGTCGCTCGGGCTCGCCCCTCAGTGGCGGCCCCTGGCTGCGGAGATCGTCCGGACGCTGGCTGGTTCTGGACACCGGTCTTCCCGGCTGAAAGCAACACCAACGAGGTTGAACACACAGCATACGATGTACACAGTACAGAGAAGAGGTGGGAGAGGGGGAGTGAGGGAGAGAGAGGGAGAGAGAGGGAGAGAGGGAGAGGGAGAGAGGGAGAGAGGGAGGGAGTGAGGGAGAGAGAGGGGGAAGTGTGGGTGTAGCGAGAAAGAGAGAGAGGGGAAGAGAGAGGGGACAGGATAGCGAGAGAGGGTGAGAGAGAGAGAGGGAAAGAGGGAGGGAAAGAGGGAAAGAGGGAAAGAGGGAGAAAGTGAGAGCGAGAGAGAGAGTGAGTGAGGGAGAGAGAGGGGGAAGTGTGGGTGTAGAGAGAAAGAGAGAGAAGGGAAGAGAGAGGGGACAGGATAGGGAGAGAGGGTGAGAGAGAGACCGCGGTTCGGCCGTCGGGAGGTCGTGAGACAACGTCCTCGGAGCGTTTGGATGTCTCTCCGCTCTCCGTTCATAGATCGGCGCAACACAACGCCCGCCTCGATTCAAACCCGAATACGGTCCAACGCTCTTGTCGCGGTTGCCTATGGTTTCCAAGTTGTAGCACCGAGAGAGAAAGAGAGAGATAGATCCCGAGGCCACAAGATACGACAGACAGAGAGAGAGAGAGAGCTGAGAGAAAGACCGACAGAAGAGAAAGAGAGAGAGCAGACAGAAAGAACAGAAGGGGCGATAGGAGAGAGGAGGGGAGAGGTGTGACCGTATATTTCAGTATTGTAGTTTTGAAGTCTAGTTGAAGGTGCTTAGTGGCATCGTTCACGTGATTCACCCTCATCTCTGCACGTGTTAAAAGATTTCTACAACGAGAAATATCAATAGGCGAGCAGACGGCAGTGGGCGCCATCTTGCTGGGTCTGTGTGTGTGTGTGCGTCAGCGCTGTTTCAAGGTATTATCATAACGCGTTTGAACGTGAAGCCTGCGTTTGTGTCAAATTTCATCATTGTTGCCAATAGACACAAATGTGCGCACAGGCACCGCAGCGTAATATAAGATACATATGCACAGTACACCCGTGCACGTCGCACACCATGTATCATGCACGCACACGGACACGACACACGTACACATACACACGTGTCATATAGTTATATATGTATATATATATATATATATATATATATACTGTATACCCTATTAATATATACCTCTACTATATATATGCGTACACGGTACACACATATATAACACACCATTATTTTAGAATACACAACTAATAGATTCATTAATTGTTCTTCTATCTGCTATATATATTTTTCATGTTGTTTAAATTTTATTTTTAATTTTTATAAAGGGTACAGTACCTCTAGGATTTTACTGCCATACAACTGTAACTTACTGTATAGACAAATCGTCTATAACCACATGTCATTTGTCCACCAGACTACTTAATTAATTATTTACACATCAACGCAGGGAAATTTGAGAGCGGCGCCATGACACCCGGCGTGCTCCACCCGAAAAGTTGCGTATTTTCATTTTTATTTTGCAGGTAAATGACGAGGGCTAATCACAAAGTGCAATTATATTTTACCCTAAATGCTATTTAACCGCACGATATTCATTTTAGGGCAAATTTATTCATATTATAACTGAAACTATATGCTCGTTTATAAGATTATTACAATCTTTTGCTTTTAAATATAAATTAGAAATACCCTCGTCTGTAGCCCTTGGCTGGGAAGTGTTTTGCGCAAGCTTCTCAGAATCGTGCGCTTTGAGTGGCGCCACCGTCGTTGTAATCAACTGTAGTCCGTTAGTTTTAAAAACATTAAAAAAAATATTTCTTTTAATGGTGATTGAAACGCATGAACCTTTTTATGTAGGCCCAATTATACACCCTAACATTAAGCTGAAAAGTACCCTAGAACCTAGAGGCTACTGTTCTTAAATGTGCTAAGTGAAGGCTCCTTTTTGTGTATATTGGTAGTCTTATCCATTGTTTATTTTGCCTCCTAGTGAGTGAGTTGCGTCCATACAATATTATTTGATTGATATCTGTTTTTAATTTTAGTGTCCTTGATTTAGATTTATGTCACGTAGCCGGTTTGCGCGAACTGGCTTCCGAGCCCACGTGACGAGGTCCCACGCACCAGCAGCCACGCACCAGCACCTAAACAGCTACGCACGCTGAGCGTGGCCTGACAGTCAGGCTTGATGCGTAGGAAACGTCGATGCTTTGGCGATATGATCCTGTAGAAGCGCGTGCGTAACCGAAGGGTGTTTCGTGAGCTACGAGAGAGAGGACGTTCGTGTGTCTCGGCAGCCGTGCGTGAGCCGAAGACGTGTGTCATCCCAGCCGTGCGCGCGAGAGGACGTGTGTCGTCCCAGCCGTGCGCGAGAGAGGTACATGTTGTCGTCCCAGCGTGGCGTGAGAGAGGACTGTGTCGTCGCCAGCCGTGGCCGTGAGAGAGGACGTGTGTCGTCACCGTGCGTGAGAGAGGAGTGTGTCGTCGCCAGTCGTGCGTGAGAGAGGACGTGTGCGTCCCAGCCGTGCGTGAGAGAGGACGTGTGTCATCCCGGCCCGTGCGTGCGAGAGGACGTGTGTCGTCCCAGCGTGCGTGCAGAAGAGGACCGTGTGTCGTCCAAGCCGTGCGTGAAGGGACATGTGTCCGTTCCAGCCCTGTGGCGTGCAGCAGGAGACGTGTGTCGATCCCACCGTGCGTGAGGAGAGGCACGTGTGTCGTTCACAGCCGTGGCTTCGAGAGAGGACGTGTGTCGTCCAGCCGTGCGTGAGAGAGGACTGTGTCGTCCCAGCCGTGCGCGAGAGCAGACGTGTGTGTCCCAGCCGTGCGTGAGAGAGGAGTTGTGTCGTCCCAGCCGTGCGTGAGAGAGGACGTGTGGTCGTCGCCAGCCGTGCGTGAGAGAGGACACTGTGCTCGTCCAGCCGTGCGTGAGAGACGGACGTGTGATCGTCCGTCGTGCGTAAGAGAGGACGTGTGTCGTCCCAACGCGTGCGTGAGAGAGGAGCGTGTGTCGTCCCACCGTGGCGCGGAGAGGAGGACGTGTGTCTCCAGCCGTGCCGCTGAAGCAGAGGACGTGTTTCGTCGGCCAGCGCGTGCGTGAGGAGAGGACAGTGTGCGTCGCAGCCGTTGCGTGGAGAGAGGACGTGTGTCTCCCAGCCGTGGCGCTGAAGAGAGGACGTGGTGTCGCCCCAGCCGTGGCGTGGAGAGGACGTGTGTCGTCCAGGCCTGGCGTGAGAGAGTACGTGTGTCGTCCCAGCGTGCGTGAGAGGACGATGTCGTCGTCCAGCGTGCGTTGGAGAGGACGTGTGTCGTCCCAGCGTGCGTGAGGCGAGGCACGTGTCGCTCCGTCCCAGCCGTGCGCTGAGAGCAGGAAGTGTGTCGATCCCCAGAAGAAGAAGAAGAAGAGAAAGAAGAAGAAAAGACGAAGAGGAAGTACGAGAGAGAAGAAGAAGAAGAAGAAGGAAGAAGAAGAAGAAGAAGAATAAGAAGAAGAAGAGGACAGGAGACGAAGAGGGA